GCTTGATTGCGACCCTTTTTTCAGCGCAATGGCTTGCAAGAGAAGCGCTTCAGCTTCTTGTCTCCGTCTTGCTGCAATTTGACCTTCAGCATCCCAAAGCAGATAGAGGAAAGCGCCCAAAACAAAGGCATCAGTCCCGCCCAATACCTGAAAGATGTGAGCAACAGAGCAGAACTCTACCGAAAGAGCGACGCGGTTGCTGGGCGAGAGGAGTTTGTGAAGACATTGAATGAGGCAGTGCGGTTGAGCTATCCGTTGTTTCTCATGAAGTTGTTTTAATTCTGTTTGGAGTTTAGAGGTTCAGTATGGTTGAGGAAGTTTATGCGGTTATTAGACGGTTTTTCCAGTCCATTTTTGAAAAGACTTCAGCTCAGCTAAATTGTGATACAGTTCAAGATGTCATGCAACTTCGTCAGGCTATGGGAAAGTCTGGTTTGCACCTTGTCATTGGGGGCAAGTCCCTCGGAAAGACCAAAATTGTGCAGCTCTACGTCAATATGCGTCTCCCTAGCAAAGCCCAGTCAACGGATGCATTGGAATGTTTGCAAGAAGAAGCTAAGCGAACTGCAAAGAATTTGCCATTCGGGGCAGAGCGGCTGGTTGCCGCCGGTTCTGCGGTTCTTGGAGCACTTGGCAAAGCGAACTTAAAGAAGAGTGACGATGAGGAGATAGGAGAGGGTGCAGTGGAAATTCTTCTCTCTTTGTTTCTCAACATCACCAAGCCCGAGGAGTTCATCAAGGCTTTTGTTGCGGCAACAATGGCTGCAGAGAAGGTTCCAGTCATGATTGTTGATGAAGCCAACATCGCCTTTCCCAATGGTAACGGTGGGAATGGGAATGGCAGAAGAGAAGCAGCTTACAGAGCGCTCGCAACCTTTGTGGCGCTGACAAAGGAGCAGGGGAAAGCGTCTGTTATCCTGGTTGCCTCTGACTATGCTTTCCCATTGGGACTACAAGCTCTTGGCTTCAACAAGTATGATGCTCTCAATACGATTGTAGCTCCGGAGGTTGAAGAGAAGCCTATGCTTTTTTGCTGCAAGAGTGGGGTTTGTCTCATAGACTTGGCACAGGAGCTATGAGCAACTTTGCACAGTGCTTTTCTAAAGCTTGCTTTTGTTAGCTCATGCTCGTGTAAAACAGGGTCGAATTTTGGTGTTCTTTGTTTTGCTGAATTTCTTGTAATCAGTTTATCACGGGATGCATGGGTCGGAACTGTTTGCGTGCAATACCATGTGAAATCGGAATATGGCAAATGCTTTTGTGTTGTGGGCTGGCAGGAGTTCTATGAGACCTTCGGTGGAAACGTTTTTTTGTGCCACCAGGCGGTCGACAAGCTCCGTCAGCAATTCGAGTTGGGTCAGGAGAGGCTCTTCGACCCCTTCAACGTCCGAGGCAATGCCGAGGTAGGTGACCTCGTGGCGACCCGCTCACTCGGAAGCACATGGAGAACTTGGCTCAGAAAGGATGGTCGCAAGTAGAGGGTGGCGCTGCAGAAGCGGAGAGGGAGAGCCAGAAGGGTGCTCGCATCATCGCCAAGGAGAACTTCGGCGCCATCATCGAGAGACAGACCACTACTTTCTTTGACGAAGCCTTGAAGGAAGATATGTTCAGAGACCCAGCTGCTGTGCGGGTTTTAATTCCACCAACTACATACGCACGCAAGTGCATCCAGCGGATGGTGGACACGGTGAAACCAAGCAACTTGGACTTCAAAGAAAGACTTTTCCTTTGGAGCAACCACTCGTCACTATGAGCCCCAGTCATTTTGCAGTTTGTTTCTCAATCTTTCAGGAGCATTTATCGGAAACGCGAACCATTTTTTCTCCATCCCTTCTCGGTTGAACATGTTGAACGCAAGGCATCACCAGACCACAAGCTGGAGCAGTGTGGGTGAGGCAACTAAAGGAGGACAGGAGTGACCGGTGCCAGTCAGTTGCTCCACCAAGGAAGCACTATTGTATTGGGTTCTACGATTTAAACAATCATGTCTATGCCAACTCAGCAGCAAACTACATGGTGATGGTGTTAATGTAACTTTCCTCCCAAGCCAAACATGTGATTATGTGTAAGCCCGCTATGCAAAATAATACTGTGTCATTTTATGTTCTTGAGACAGCTCAGCACTATTTGGGGAGAAGATTGCAGGGTTGTTCATTCCTCAGGATTTGTTTAAACATATGTTCCAATAATCTTCCTGCGACTGATAGAGAGGATTTAGACTGAAGACTTTGTATGTTTTTCTGCCATGCCCTTGTTCCTTTGCTGTGCCCTTTTGTCAGGTGTAGGAAGAACTTTTATTATCGAAAAGCCATGCCCCAAACTAAAAGCGTGATTAAGGGTAAGTCCACTGTGCAAGAAAATACACTGTCATGCTACGAACTTGGTATGGTTCAGGACTTTTGGGGACAAGATTGCAGGGTTGTTCATTCCTCAGGATTTGTTTAAACATATGTTCCAATAATCTTCCTGCGATTGATAGACAGGATTTAGACTAAAGACTTTGTATGTTTTTCTGCCATGCCCTTGTTCCTTTGCTGTGCCCTTTTGTCTGTTCCCACCTCAACATCTCACCTTTTGAGTGATACAGCAAGTGTTAAAGAAGCAACCTTGTTTTTTACATCCCTATGTTCGTTTTCTTTGTTCCTTTGCAAAATTCCTGTGCAAAAAGCGGTGTTGATTGGTGAATAAAAGTAGGGTTGTGTTCCATCATTTCTCCCACTCAAGCATCAAACAAAAGCTTTGTAATTTGCAAAAGTCAATGCAACAGTTTATGCCTTTGTTCCTTTTCGAGGTTCCTCTGACTAGCGGTAGGTTAGGATGCAAATGGTTTGTTCACTCGCCCAGCGCCTGTTTGAAATTGCAGGACGGTGGAACATTCAAGGAGATTGGCAACGCTTTCCAAGTCAAGGGAGAGTTGGCGAACGTAATGACCTTAACTTGGCTATGCCCTTCTTGCGGGCTTGTCATGCTTCACGTAATCTAACAACGTTTCCGATGTAGTCGGCTCAGCCACTCCATCATGTGTGCAAGGTTTACTTACCAAGTGTTTTTGAATGTTTCATCCAAGTTGCCGCAGTCGACGGCTCGGTATTGCTTCGGTTTGAGGTTGATGACCTCAAAGAAGCCCAGTGCTTAGAGACCTCGTTCGAGTTCGCCCCTTCCTCAGACCGGACCGGTATTTGCTTCAGGCAATCGAAAAGACGGAGAAACTGTCCATTGCAAAGTCCAAGATTGACATCTACAGCCTGAAGGACAGCTTCGCTATTTTCTTCCACCATCCACCGCTCTAACCTGACCTTTCGAAACAGTGCTTCAAGTTTGCTCACGGCAGGATGGAAATTGGACTCTGGAAGATGAAGAAGCACCAGTCAATCGTGGCACGTCCAAGCCCGGCACTTGGTGTTTTGTTTTGAGCAGCTTTTGACAATGCTTCGGTTCAGATTGATGTCATTGTTTACAACTTTCTGATGTATTTTTGTTGCCGCCTCGCATTCAGGTCAGACTGCTATGGTTTCACGATACCATCAGCGTGAGTGTGAATCTCAGCTTTCTTGGCAACCTGCAGTGGCTTGACGGTAATGGAGTTCCGTGGTCACAGTGACAAATTTTGGCTCTCATGAGGGTCTGTTTGTTGCTCTGTCGGCTGAGGCTGTCGAAATCCAATGAGAGCACGAATGTGGGCGTGTATGTAGTCTATTAAAGTTTCACTTTGTATCACAAAATTAAATCAGCACAGTTGGTTCGTTGTGGTATGACCTTGCGTCAATGATAGAATATGCGTTCGCACGTGGACAATTCCAACTTGGACTGAAGGGTTGACTTTTCCTGACAATCAGGTCATGCATGCAACGGGTGCAGGAGCAATGACCCAAGCAATGACCCAAGAGCTGGTCATAGCATGTTTCATTCAGGCGTTGCACATAGCGCCCAAGCACAGACCAAGCAACATACAGTTCCCTAAGAAAAAGACTTGTGCTTGATTTTGGACAGGCTTTCCTGGCAGTCGGAGCTTTGAATGGAAAACTAGTAGAAAATTTAAGGAAAATCGGTGGAAAACTAGTGGACAAAGTTTTGGCAACTAAGGGTGACTTTTCAACATGCTAAACTCCTTGCAGTCACGAAAAGCATGCCACCGACTTATATGAGACGGCATAGAGATATTATACACAAAACTCCCAGCGGGCAAAAAGTGCTAGCGAGCCTACTTTTCGACCCTCTGGAGCCACAAATCATTAGAAAAATCACAGTGAATCGCAACTTTTCTACCTTTCCGCGCACCTGCATCTTCTTTCCTCTGTCTTTCCTCTGTCTCTTCTTTTCTCTTCTTTTCTCTTCTTTTCTCTTCTTTTCTCTTCTTTTCTCTTCTTTTCTCTTCTTTTCTCTTCTTTTCTCTTCTTTTCTCTTCTTTTCTCTTCTCTGATCTTCTTTCTGCTTTTGCCTTTCTTCTTTCTTCTTTCTTCTTTCTTCTCTCTTCTCTCTTCTCTCTTCTCTTCTCTTCTCTGACTCTTCCCACCTGTCCATATTGTCGGAGGTTTGACTTCTAAACTTCCTGCGACAATGGCTTATACCTTATACCCCATGTCTGGACACTTCCGCATATTCGGTTGATTTGCAATGACATCACAGCCTGACCACAAATGATACGTTGTAGGGGGAACAAGCTAAAAACCAGCTTATATCAGGTTGGTGATTGATAGTTCAGCCACAATAATATATGGGATGCTTTCAGTCGTTTACACACGCGTTTATGCACAGCTTATTCTCCAACTGCGGTTCCTGGGCTGATCAAGGTAAAGGTGATAAACCACACACCGACCCTCCTCTTCCCCAAGAGGAGAGAATTGAAAGAAAGAGGCTTATAAAATTTTCCAACTGTTGAAAGAAGATTATTACATGAATGGGTGTGTGTTCCGAATTTCATTCTTATGACCGGTCATTTGTGGTTTCATTAGGTTCTCCCAGCCATCCCCAGGTCACGACCCCAGCTGGTTACGCGTCAGGTAGTGGAGTACCTGCAGACACTGCCGGTCTGGGCGGACTTGCGGGACCGGTCCGATGTGGATGGTGTTTGTTGACTTAGTGGTTGAAGTCACAGGCACGAACCAGTTTATCTGCGGTTTGAGTTCCACTTTGGTGAAACAGCTTGATGTAGACGACACATTTGTTGCAGGACGCTTACTGCCAAAACACCAACAAGATGATGAGAAAGACCATGGGTCCTGTTACTGGATGGTTAGCCTTGACCTCAGGGATGATTTCTGGCAAAACAGTCGGAGATCGAAGCAAGTTATTGGGCCCAAAGATTGGGACCCAAGTCCATCAAATTGACAGAATTACTTCAGTCATTGTACTATAGAGATCCGCACGCCGATGATGCCATCGCACACCGACGATGCCATCAGAGTTGCCGGATAATTTTTCTGCGCCCAGATGCTGTTGGCCCGAAGCTGTTGGTTGTTGGTCGTTGGTTGTTGGTTCTTGGTTGCAGGTTGTGGGTCGTTTCGCCGTCGCCGTCGTCGTCGTCGTCGTCGTCCTGGGTCCTCGTCCTTGTCCTTGTGGTCGTTGTGGTCCTTGTGGTCGTTGTGGTCGTTGTGGTCGTTGTGGTTGCTGTGGTCGTTGTGCTTGATGTGGTTGTTGTGGTAGATGTGGTCGTTGTGGTTGCGGTTGTTGTGGTTGTTGTGGTTGTTGTGCTTGATGTGGTTGTTGTGGTAGATGTGGTCGTTGTGGTTGCGGTTGTTGTGGTTGTTGTGGTTGTTGTGGTTGTTGTGGTTGTTGTGGTTGTTGTGGTTGTTGTGGTTGTTGTGGTTGTTGTGGTTGTTGTGGTTGTTGTGGTTGTTGTGGTTGTGTGGTTGTGGTTGCGGTTGTGGTGGTTGCGGTTGCGGTTGCGGTTGCGGTTGTTGTTGTGGTTTTGGTTGTGGTTGTTGTGGTTGTTGTGGTTGTGGTTGTGGTGGTTGTGGTTGTGGTTGTGGTTGTGGTTGTGGTTGTGGTTGTGGTTGTTGTTGTTGTGGTTGTGTTTGTTTTGGTTGTTGTCGTTGGTGTCGCTGTTGTTGTCGTTTTTGCAACCCAACAATTTTTTTTCCTCGGCGTGTTCCCCTGTGCCGTCGGCCGGAATTCTAGGTTGTAATTTTCTTCATTTGGGCAAAACCAACACTGGTGACAATGGGTTTGTGGGCTTCCATAAATTCACCCAGCTACGGCACCATCATTGCGCACCGTTTTTCCCAAGGCTCGGCGTGTGGCTCTGGGCCCGGAGAAGTTCAAAGCTTTGGAGGCTGCACTTTGCGACCGTCCAAGTTTGAACCAGAACCAAAATTTGGCATGTGGACCCGTGAATGCACCCTCATCATGAAGGGGTTCCATTTTTGTCGGTTTTTTCCCCCAAAATAGGTTGTATTTTAGATTTTTGAATCATCTGATGGTTTTCTATTTTTTTTTGTACTTTGTGATTTTGACACCCAACCTCAGCAATTTTTGTGCCAGGATGATTTGGTTGGAGCCGGGACCTCAATGAAAATGCTTGGTTTCTGGGGGTTTTCATAAATGGGGGTACGCCAATAGCTGGATGGTTTATAAAGGAAAACCATTGAAAAATATCCATGTGTTATTCCTGCTATAGAAAGGGCTTTCATAGAGTTGTTATTTGTTAGTTCGAAGCGTTAGAGTCCAGGAGTCCGGGAGATTTTTTTGCTGCCTTGGAAGGCAGCACTGATATGATCTCCGAGGCATTAGCTGAACTCCTGGAGTTCAAAAAAAAACAGATTCCGTGAAACACATTGGAATCTCTTGTTTGGAGTTTCCTGGTTTTTCTTGTAACATTTGTAACACTCAGTCGCTCAGGTAAAACTTGATTTTATTCTGTTGACGTGCCCCCGCCCCCATTTCTATGGTCAGTGCCTTGCTTAGGCCTATGTTTTGGTTCGCTTAGGACTATGTCGGAGATACATGGCTACAGTATCAATAGAAAGATATATCGACGCATCTGAACGTGTGTATCCAATGGAGTCCAATGTGTTTGATGTCGTGTCTCTTACCTCTAGTAGTTCCCGCTGTCCCCTGTCCCCAGTCCCCTGTACCCGGTCTAAAGATTAACCCTAAAGGTGTGTATCCAATGGAGTTAACCCTAAAGGTTGAACTACACATCCCTGAATGTCGTCCTAAGTGATCCTTTGACCCATTTCTATTGTTAAATCGTCTGTTCGTCGAATCGTTGGTGTTGCTAAGACCCGTTTTCGCTTTTCATGTCGCCATTTTCATATGCGAAAGGTCAGTCAAACCATTGTGAAATTCGATATCCGTGTTTTGTTTTGTCTATCGGTCAAAATCAACGAACAACTAGTTTTCAGAGGATGAACATCCACGTAATTATGCGCAACTTCGATGTGAAATATCACCAGGGCGACGGGCCCCATATAGTCATATAGCATCATATAGCTGTGGGCCATGGGTCAAAATTGACCATCCCCAACTTGGGTAAATTATCATCCAGAAATCACTGCTTCTTGCAGCATTTTGAGGCATCAGCTGAGCGCATTGCTGAATCAGAAGATCTCCATGAAGCGGTTGGAGACTCTGACCCAGAAGGGATCTTCTGTCGTCGGACTCGCCTTGTGATTCAAGGCAGCGCAGTACATCAGCGTGGCCACAGATGTGTTCAGGCTGGTATGCTTTCTTGGTCACTCTTGATATGAGTGAACGGATGAGGTTAACTTTTTGGGGTATTTGGGTAAATGGTAGAATTTTGCTCAACTTACTGTCCATACTGGTCAGTTAGCAAATGGGTCAACTTGCCAAGCAGAGACTTTTGTTCATATATATATATATGTGGCCAATTAAGTGGTCAAAGTTGCAGACAACGCTGTTGTTTTGCTGGGCAAATGGCAATGGTTGCCCGTGAAGCTTGATTAATGAAAGAATCTATTTGGACTGTGACAGGTCCAATGCTTACGCGATGCAAAGAATGTCGGCATCCCATCGTTTGAGATGAATGTGAGCGTTTTAGTCGGGTGATGCTATACCTCTCCTCGGGCTGAGGCCTCCTGATGAGTTTGAGAACTTGCTACATCCAGTCTTTCAAGAAGACGAGTTGGGACCTTGTTTTTTTCGATGACAGCCTGCCGGCTGATGATCCATTCGATTTTGATGTGAATCTTATTCAAGATGATTTTAAGCAGTCTTATCATTCAGTGATTCTATTGATGATTGGTTTGCCCAGATATATGTGGGACATGCCAAGTCCATAAGATTTATGCTTCGGTTATCCTATCCGGTCAGGTACAATTTCCTGGGCTATTTGGGCTGAGGTGGATTCTGATTCTTCTTGGAGGTGTCCTTGGAGCCATCGCCGCTTGTCCATCTGGTTAATGTTGATGGTTCGTTCATCCAGATACTTCATCCTGAGAAGAGCCCTCCAACATTCCTTCACTTGTTTCTCAAACATTTTCGGTAAGTGTGCTTGATGTTGACTTTTTCAGCAGATTTACCGCATCCTTGAGCACCAATGTTTGGAAGGAACTCCACACTGCTCGAGACCCTTCAGTCTCCTTTGCAAGCGCGTGGTTTCTGCATTTTTGAGGTTGTTGTTTTTAACTTACAACCTTTATCTATTTTCCATCCCTGCAAAAAGCGGATGATCGAACATGGCTCATATCTCCTAACACTTTTCCGGGGGATTGAAACCACCAATCAGTTTTGCGCGATGCAACCTGAGGTCGGAATTGCACAAGTCCACTTTCTCTCACAGTGACGTAGACGTACCGCTTTATGCCAACAATGCCCGCGGCAAAATGGGCGCGATCTTTCACTGTGTCACGGAAAGGTGCAAAAGGGTGTCTTTCATCTGCCACAGGTATCGCATGGCGTCGCTAGTTATTGTAGGGCTTTGCACACCTGCGATGCTGCAAGGGTTGGGTGCTTTCCAAGACCCCATGGAATTGGCAAAGATCATTGCCTCCGTTTGCAGTACCGCAAAACACGGATGACACACTAATCACAAGAGAAGCCTGGTTTCATCCTTAATACTATATAATTTTCAAGATAGATATTGATAGATAAATAGGTAGGCAGGTAGGTAGGTAGGTAGAGAGAGTAGATAATAGATAGACAGACAGACAGACAGACAGACAGATAGATAGATAGATAGACAGACAGACAGACAGACAGATAGATACAACACCAGGACAAAAGTTTTTCCTCTTGACTAGCTGCTGCCACCCTCTCCCCTTAGACTCCTGACGGGGCTCATATGAATCACATGGCGGATCGCGGATCAGCTGGTTTGCTTAAAAAAAGAACAATTTATTCCAACTTGAAGTACGATCCGCCACGCAGGCCACGCGATAATTGATCTGTGGCTGAAGATGAGCATTTTCCACTAAACAACTTTGTTTTTTGATGAACGTTTTCAACTAGAAAGAGTTGTGTCCTCATGAGCATGTTGCGCCTCACACAGTGCTTCAACTTGCCGTTCTTCTCATTTTCCTGCATACGCGCGATTTCACGTCTTCTCTTCTAGGCAATGCCGCAGGTGTAAAATAACGTGAGCATTTTCCACTAAACAAATTCGTTTTTTTTGATGAACATTTTCAACTAGAGAGGGTTGTGTCCTCAAGAGCATGTTCAGCCTCACACACTGCTTCAACTAGCCGTGCTTTACATGTACCTGCATACGCGCGATTTCAGGTCTTCTCTTCTAGGCAATGCCGCAGGTGTAAAATAACGCAGAGCATTTTCCACTAAACAAATTCGTGTTTTTTGATGAACATTTTCAACTAGAAAGAGTTGTGTCCTCATGAGCATGTTCGGCCTCACACAGTGCTTCAACTTGCCGTGCTTTACATTTACCTGCATATGCGCGATATCAGGTCTTCTCTTCTAGGCAATGTATACAATATATATATATATATATGTATATTTATATAATATATGTGTATATAGATACACATTTTGTTGAGTACTTTCGGAGGCCCCCTTCAATATTTATTATTTGGTAACAAAACACCCTGGTCCCAATTATTTATATTCAGAAACATTCCGCCTGACCAATGCATGGCGGCTCGCTGGCGTATGCGACCTGCTGGCTGCGTCAGCGGCGAAATGAGGATGCGGCTGCAATCTCAGTATGATCTGGGTCTGTTTGAAAATGGGGTATTTTGACCAACGAAATTCTGGGGGTATAAAACCAACTAGTTCATATTGGATATACTGGGACACAGTGGGGTCATAAAAGCAATATGATGATAGTATGTCTGAAAATTGATGAAAATTGAGCATTTCGCTGCGCTATATGGCTATTTGATTGGGAAAATGAGATTTTAAACCATGGCGATTCTTGGTACCCATATTTTCGAGACAAACCCATCTTTCTGCAAACGCCTGTGAACGTACTCAAAAAGGCAACATGTAGGTATGCATGAGTAACTTGGTGGCATTTCCACCTGGTTGGACTTGGATGTAGCGCAATTATAGGAAGAATCAAGTCACAACAGCTTGGCTCAGCATGACTAAAAACAGTGACTGACACCCTGATACTCCAACAGACACATGAATTTGCACATATGTCATCAGGCAAGCCACTATCTTGAGGTACCAATGTGTACGTAGGGGGAGGTTGCGTCATTCCCCGATCTTCAGCCAACAACTTGAGGAGACAGAGTTGATAAGGGTTGAACAAGTTGCGTAATTCCGCAATTTTGAGGCACCGCTGTGTAGAGAAGAAGGTTGCGTAATATTTGATCTTTGTTGTAGGATTCTCGTTGGGTGCCTCCATTTATAGTTTTGTTTTTTGGAAGTCTGGGCTTTAACAGATACTAGCAGCAAGATCGGGACAATATCGATGTCCACTAGTGTAACAGGAACAAATCTTGAAACGAAGATAAAACCTTGAAAGAAACCATTTGCAAAAAGCAGCAAACACCAAAAAACACAGCGTTCCACTTCTGTAGCCCTGGTGTACAATCGTTTTGTGTTATTTCTGCCGAAATTTGCACACTATTTTTTCCTCAAGCACAATGTGGCGACTAAACATTTTGATGTTTTAAGATTAGATCCAGCAGGTACCAGCATTGGTCTTGCAGTTTTATAGTTCTACAAGGTGGTTACTGCTGACAGTGCTGGTAGCTCTTCAGCTCAGGCCGAAGCTGATGGGCAACTTGGATGCGCATTAAAGGCACTGGGCCTTGAAATTTGTCGCACGTGGCCGTTGAAATCCAATCGTTTTGGGACTTTGTTTCACGCAATTGCAATAGGAAGATCTTGAGGCTCCTTTTCGAGACACTGGTGTAGACACCTGCAACCCCTCGTTTGCAGCTCTGGACACCACAGAATCTTGACTAAACAAACACGTCTCCTGGTTGAAGTGCTGAACATGTTTTGGTCATGTTTTCCCTGACCTTGCCTTCACAGGAACCGCAGCCTGCTCCTTGGCCATGCCACGTGCTGTACCGGTGTGATTTGCAACTATAACACCCTTGCCAATGTGGTTTGCTGGCGACTAGCAGCTGGGCAAGCTTTAGTTCTATGCAACCTTCCAGGTCTGGGTTTGGCTGTCCATAATCATGACCCATTAAATGGAATTAAGACTAACGCCGGAGACGTGTGCCAAGACATCCAACTCTTCGCATAGGCCGGTTGCTGACGCTCCCAGTTGGACTGACAACATTTTTGCACCAGCCGAAGGGTTTGAAATGATAGGAATCTAGACAGCTTGTGCTGATTTGGGATAGAGATTTGTCACAGGCGCAGCTTTCAGATTTGGACGTTGGATGCCAGCTGTTTCCCAGGTACAGTGCTTCATGCTGACGTCAGTTGCACTGTGTTTGCTGGTCACCATCAAGACGCACGCTGGATATCAGAGGTTTTCATGAAAGTCAGCTGCTGAAGTTCAGGGAATCATTGCTGGTGGACCCCGTTGGACCCCTCTTTGAGGACACCATTAGGTGAAAGCAGGTGAGGGCCTAGGCAAGGTGACAGGCCAACCATGGGAACTTGAGAAGTGGTCTAAACGAATGTGCCCAAATCTTTCAGAAGAACAAACGCACGTGCATTCTGGCATTTTGTGAGGTCACCCTGCTTTGGTGTGAGAAGGCAGGTTCCTTGAATTTTCTGATTTGCAGATGCTGTTGTGAATATCTTTGAGACCTTCATTCAAGCCGGAACTCATGACATTTTGCAAGTTGTCTGGTGCTGGATATCTTGATGCTGGTTCTGTTGCTTATCATGGCTCGAAATTGCGGCGGTGCAGGTTTGAAAAGCATGTACCATAGTCAAAACTTGGGTAAATAGCCATTTTTGTTTGGTCATCAATGCATAGGAATTGGGCTTTTTGTCTCACACCTCAGTATCAGATATCTACACCATCTGTGGGGAATTCAAAACCTACTTGATCATTGTCGCCTCAGTTTTGGGCCGAACGCCATGGAGTCCATGGATGCAGGGAAACCAAGCAACCATGATGTGGGAAGCGTTCTCCAAGCACAACCCAATGATTGTGTCCCGCCTGCCTGGCAGGACTCGCACTCAAGCAGCAGTTCGATGTGTTCGAAAGTCACACTGCCGCCGAGATCTCCCAAACAACACCTAGAGTCCGCAGACAAGTTGCCCCAGAGGAGCAAATCAAGAGCAAGAAGTGCATCGAACAGTGACGGGAAGGGCGGCAAACTGGACGGAGCAAACAGTCCAAGCAGTCCAAGGTAAATGGTATGCCAAGGTCTGCCCGTCTCGCCGCAATTCCAACGTATTCTCCACCACGCGGTAAGCTTTGGGGCTTCAATTTGGCAAAGTACGGTGAGAATTTCAAGGTGGCGGCCAAGGAGTTCTTAGAGTGACTGACTCAGTCACAAGCAATGCAATGATCACAGGAGCATGAAATCAGTTAATGTTGTCAACCCAATAATAAACCATCCCATCAACAAACCATTTGGAAATGAATTAAATCATCCCAAATAGGAGTATACCCAATCATATTCAACATTATTAAGACCCATGAGGGAAGGAACATGTCGCCACGTCTCAGCCAGGGCGCTTGCACCGAGACGCTTGTCTAGCCGTGACGAGGATGTTGTCCACTTGCGAGAATTCCATACGGTGAAGGATGCGGAGGGCAGCTATCAAAGCACTTTGCACTTAACTGACAAGGGACGTCTCCTCCATCCCTACCTTTGGGATAAAACGGATTTCGAAGGAGAGAAGCGTGCATCCAAGAAAGAAGCAGACGACTCCGCAGCCAAAGTGTTTTGGGACGATCCCCATGTATTGGACATAGCTAGAAAGCTGAGACCTTCAAAGAAGGCTCAGAGAATCGACCGCAACAGGATTCTGAAAAATCTAAAGAACAGTGCCAAGCGCCAAGCGAAGCGGTTGGCGCAAAGAGCGGCAGTTCAGACCTAGAAAAAGATGCTCCTTGATTGAGGAAGAGCTGGGTGTGTCTAGAATTTGTTGGTTCCACAGTTCGATTGACGCAACCCTGCGCTCCATGGCTCATCCTCTAAAATGAAGGTACTACTCAAATTCATTTTATAGGCATCACAATGCACAAATTGAAGCTTTTGGCAATGCTTGATTCCTATGTAAAACCTCAAATCTTCTTTCGCTGTGCCCAGGGCCGCAGATTAGCTAATTGCGGGAAACAAAAGGATATTCTTCCGCCTCGCCGTTGTGACAAAGCATAAGCAAGGTTCCCAGGAACAGGTGTCTAAGAAAAGGTTGCAAAAAAGGTTCCAGGAATAGGTTCGCAAGCAAGGGTTTCCAGGCAAGGTTCCTGGGAACAGGTGCTGGTAGCTCTTCAGCTCGGCACTGTTGGCGTAAGCCGAATGTATGACTTTAGCAGACTTTTCTTTCGCCGCAAAATTTCATGCAGCTGATTCTCATGCACGTTTCCGGTAGCAGGCTGGACCAGTCACCCGTAGACTCTCGTGAAGCATTTCACAACCAGCCTTTGGTGGGTGATTTCAGGTTTCAACTGTCTTTCACTGTTCATCCCTACCTGAAATCATGACCCCACTTGACTCTTATATTAAAATTAGACAGGATGCAACAAAATGAAACCACCAACCCGAGTTTAAGAAACTGAAAAGCTGATCATCCAACTGAGCCAATAGTCCAATCCACTCCAACTTGACGAACCAGGTGTGTCATGAAGTTGCGTAGCTTGCTTGGGTGATGTTCGGAAAATCCTAGATGGATTCCTGCAGCGATCCATGTACATATTTATACACCCGCCAAGACCTGACAGTATCCCAGCCATAGTAGGACACCAAGCCTAGTATCAGATTCTAAGATCATATATCATATATTATTTAAGGGCTAACGCCCCTCGTCGGCTCCGCCGGATTTCTCGGCCCTCCATTTCATCGCAGTGTGGGGGCTGGAAAGCTTTTGGATGGGGACCTGCTTCAGAAATATATTCCTTACGTTTTTTGAAAAAAAAAAGAACAGGAACTTTGTTGGAAATAGACGGCTTTTTTGGGGAGCAAGTGAGTGCCCGAAAGCTCCTGCCAAGGGTTTTTCCCGAAGAACTGCTGCCAATTTCAACTTGTGACTTCATGTCAAGACGCCTCTGTGCAAAGACTTCTCTGTGTAAAAGCTTTTGTGTGTAAAAGTTTCTGTGTGTAAAAACCACTTTGTGTAAAGACTTCTTTGTGTAAAGCTTCTATGTGTGAAAGCTTCTCTGTGTGAAATGTCTGTGTAAAGATTTCACTGTGTGTAAAAGCTTCGGTGTGTAAAAACTCTCTGTGTAAAGTGTAAAGGCTTCTCTGTGTAAAAGCCTCTGTGTGTAAACGCGTCTGTGTGTGAAAGCTATATATCTGTGTAAAGACTTCTTTGTGTAACAGCTTCTGTGTGTAAAGGCTCCTAGACGTTTGTGTGCAAAAGCTCCTTGGAGTAAAGACTTTTCTGTGTAAAACCTTCTGTGTGTAAAAAGCTCCTTTGTGTAAAGACTTCTCTGTGTAAAAGCCCCTGTGTGTGTAAATGCTTTTGTGTGTAAAAGCTCCTCTGTGTAAAGGCTTCTCTGTGTAAAAAAAGCTTCTGTGTGCAAACACGTCTGTGTGTAAAAACCCTCTCTGTCAGGCCTTCTTCGTGTAAAAAGTTTTGTGCGAAAAAGCTCCTAGACGTTAGTGTGCAAAAGCTCCTTAGGGTAAAGACTTCTCTGTGTAAAACCTTCTGTGTGTAAAAAGCTCCTTTGTGTAAGGACTTCTTTGTGTAAAAGCCCCTGTGTGTGTAAAAGCTTGCTGTGTGTAAACGCTTTTGTGTGTAAAAGCTCCTCTGGCTGAAGGCTTCTCTGTGTAAAAGCTTTTGCGTGTAAAAGTTTCTGTGTGTAAAAACCACTTTGTGTAAAGACTTCTTTGTGTAAAAGCTTCTGTGTGTGAAAGCTTCTCTGTATGAAAGCGCGTCTGTGTAAAGATTTCACTGTGTAAAATTCTCTGTGTAAACGCTTCTCTGTGTAAAAGATTCTGTGTGTAAACGCGTCTGTGAATGAAAGCTATATGTATCTGTGTAAAGACTTCTTCGGGGAACAGCTTCTGTGTGCAAAGGCTCCTAGACGTTTGTGTGCAAAAGCTCCTTAGAGTAAAGACTTCTCTGTGTAAAACCTCCCGGCCAGGTTTTGGCAAAAACGGTCGTTTCCCAATGATCCCAGAAGAGAAATTCAATAGCCGGCCGAGGGGCCGCCAAATGGCAGAAATTTGCTTCCAAAAGGCTCCCGGCCAGGATTTGGCCAAAAACGGCCGTTTCCCAATGATCCCAGAAGAGAAATTCAATAGCCGGCCGAGGGGCCGCCAAATGGCAGAAATTTGCTTCCAAAAGGCTCCCGGCCAGGATTTGGCAAAAACCGGCCGTTTCCCAATGATCCCAGAAGAGAAATTCAATAGCCGGCCGAGGGGCCGCCAAAGGGTAGAAATTTGCTTCCAAAAGGCTCCCGGCCAGGATTTGGCCAAAAACGGCCGTTTCCCAATGATCCCAGAAGAGAAATTCAATAGCCGGCCGAGGGGCCGCCAAATGGCAGAAATTTGCTTCCAAAAGGCTGCCGGCCAGGATTTGGGCAAAAACGGCCGTTTCCCAATGATCCCAGAAGAGAAATTCAATAGCCGGCCGAGGGGCCGCCAAATGGCAGAAATTTGCTTCCAAAAGGCTCCCGGCCAGGATTTGGCCAAAAACGGCCGTTTCCCAATGATCCCAGAAGAGAAATTCAATAGCCGGCCGGGGGGCCGCCAAATGGCAGAAATTTGCTTCCAAAAGGCTCCCGGCCAGGATTTGGGCAAAAACGGCCGTTTCCCAATGATCCCAGAAGAGAAATTCAATAGCCGGCCGAGGGGCCGCCAAATGGCAGAAATTTGCTTCCAAAAGGCTCCCGGCCAGGATTTGGCCAAAACCGGCCGTTTCCCAATGATCCCAGAAGAGAAATTCAATACCCGGCCGAGGGACCGCCAAATGGCAGAAATTTGCTTCCAAAAGGCTCCCGGCCAGGATTTGGCCAAAAACGGCCGTTTCCCAATGATCCCAGAAGAGAAATTCAATAGCCGGCCGAAATTTGCTTCCAAAAGGCTCCCGTGTGTAAAAAGCTCCTTTGTGTATAGACTTCTCTGTGTAAAAGCCCCTGTGTGTGTAAAAGCCTGCTGTGTGTAAATGCTTTTGTGTGTAAAAGCTCCTCTGTGTAAAGGCTTCTCTGTGTAAAAGCTTCTGTGTGTAAATGCGTCTGTGTGTAAAAACCCCTCTGTGTAAAGACGTCTTCGAGTAAAAAGTTCTGTGTGAAAAAGCTCCTAGACGTTTGTGTGCAAAAGCTCCTTGGAGTAAAGACTTCTCTGTGTAAAATCTTCTGTGTGTAAAAAGCTCCTTTGTGTAAGGACTTCTCTGTGTAAAAGCCCCTGTGTGTGTAAAAGCTTGCTGTGTGTAAACGCTTTTGTGTGTAAAAGCTCCTCTGTGTGAAGGCTTCTCTGTGTAAAAGCTTCTGTGTGCAAACGCGTCTGTGTGTAAAAAGCCCCTTAGAGTAAAGACTTCTCTGTGTAAAAGCTTCCGTGTGTAAAAAGCTCCTTTGTGTAAAGACTTCTCTGTGTAAAAGCCCCTGTGTGTGTAAAAGCTTGCTGTGTGCAAATGCTTTTGTGTAAAAGCTCCTCTGTGTAAAGGCTTCTCTGTGTAAAAGCTTCTGTGTGCAAATGCGTCTGCGTGTAAAAACCCCTCTGTGTAAAGACTTCTTCGCGTAAAAACTTCTGTGTGAAAAAGCACCTAGATATTTGTGTGCAAAAGCTCCCTAGAGTAAAGACTTCTCTGTGTAAAACCTTCTGTGTGTAAAAAGCTCCTTTGTGTAAAGACTTCTCTGTGTAAAAGCTCCTGTGTGTGTAAAAGCCTGCTGTGTGTAAATGCTTTTGTGTGTAAAAGCTCCTCTGTGTGAAGGCTTCTCTGTGTAAAATAAGCTTCTGTGTGCAAACGCGTCTGTGTGTAAAAAGCTCCTTTGTGTATAGACTTCTCTGTGTAAAAGCCCCTGTGTGTGTAAAAGCCTGCTGTGTGTAAATGCTTTTGTGTGTAAAAGCTCCTCTGTGTAAAGGCTTCTCTGTGTAAAAGCTTCTGTGTGCAAATGCGTCTGTGTGTAAAAAACCCCTCTGTGTAAAGACGTCTTCGAGTAAAAAGTTCTGTGTGAAAAAGCTCCTAGACGTTTGTGTGCAAAAGCTCCTTGGAGTAAAGACTTCTCTGTGTAAAACCTTCTGTGTGTAAAAAGCTCCTTTGTGTAAGGACTTCTCTGTGTAAAAGCCCCTGTGTGTGTAAAAGCTTGCTGTGTGTAAACGCTTTTGTGTGTAAAAGCTCCTCTGTGTGAAGGCTTCTCTGTGTAAAAGCTTCTGTGTGCAAACGCGTCTGTGTGTAAAAAGCCCCTTAGAGTAAAGACTTCTCTGTGTAAAAGCTTCCGTGTGTAAAAAGCTCCTTTGTGTAAAGACTTCTCTGTGTAAAAGCCCCTGTGTGTGTAAAAGCTTGCTGTGTGCAAATGCTTTTGTGTAAAAGCTCCTCTGTGTAAAGGCTTCTCTGTGTAAAAGCTTCTGTGTGCAAATGCGTCTGTGTGTAAAAACCCCTCTGTGTAAAGACTTCTTCGCGTAAAAACTTCTGTGTGAAAAAGCACCTAGATATTTGTGTGCAAAAGCTCCCTAGAGTAAAGACTTCTCTGTGTAAAACCTTCTGTGTGTAAAAAGCTCCTTTGTGTAAAGACTTCTCTGTGTAAAAGCCCCTGTGTGTGTAAAAGCCTGCTGTGTGTAAATGCTTTTGTGTGTAAAAGCTCCTCTGTGTGAAGGCTTCTCTGTGTAAAATAAGCTTCTGTGTGCAAACGCGTCTGTGTGTAAAAACCCCTCTGTGTAAAGACTTCTTTGTGTAACAGCTTCTGTGTGTAAAGGCGCCTAGACGTTTGTGTGCAA